GGGGGAGGGGAAGTTTCGTCGTACATATGTATATTACACTCATTTAGATTTAACGATCTCTCTCCCCCTCCTCTCTCTCTCTCTCACTCTCTCTCTCATAAGCGATTCATTCATACGTTCATTCATTCTTCTCCTCGTAAATATAAAATTATCATCTCTTATTGTGTAATACCACTGATAATTGATATAATACGTATATAGCTATATTATTTGCAATAATATTTATATTATACATCGAAAGTGCATTCGGTCGTGTCTCTCCTAAATTGGTAATGCGATCACGATAAGTCTCGTTTGTGTGTCCCTACTAAACAGAAAAACCGTCCAGTCTCCTCTCCTCCTTTTTGGTGCCGCTTGTAATCGCATTCGTTCGCTAACAGGATTCCGTTCTTCGCGTTTGCCCCTTCGTTTCTGTCACGGTTTCTTCGCGCATGCACCCTCCTCCGTCATATACACCTTTTGCGCGCGCCTCACGCCACACTGTACATTCCGTTACAGGGGGATAAAAATGGCCCGCACGCTCGCACTTTTTTTTTTTTCTTTCGTTATATCTCTCTTAAAACACAACAAGCGAACGAAACCGCTCCGTAAATACTCTCTACTTTTGATAAATAATAATAGCAATAAATATCTGCCGAAAATCTCGTGAATTTTACTCACGCTTCTAATAACTATCGGTATATAATTCTCCAAAAGATTCGCCGCGCGCGCCTAATAATCGTCTGTCCGATTAAATCGTCAACCGTATTTCCTTATGCTAAATGCCGTAATAATTTCTCGTTATTTCAACAAAATCATCTCGTCCAGTCGACGCGACGCAACGTGCATGGGAATTCCGACAATGTAGGCCTTTCGTTAAACTTACGGTGTCGAGCTGACTGAGCCATCGAGGAAGAAGTTTACCCATGAACGATCTATCATTTGATTCTCTCTTTTTATTTATTTTTTTTTTTTTTGACCGAAATACAATCTCTTCGCGACGCGAGAAATTAAAACTGAAAGAGCGCGTTGAAGACAAGACTGTAACTGTACGCGTGGAACATATATGTCGTAGACATTAAGAGCCACCTCACACCCATTTTACTTTCATGTTGTATAAAAATGTGGCATGTACATATTTTAAACGTACTCTCTACTTATATCATGCTAACGACCCGTAAAGAATGTTCTTATAAAATAGCCCTATAAATATTTCTTCTCACTTTCCGTTACCGACACGTCAAATAATTAGAAGCCACAATTTTCGCTTTTCGTTGATGGAGGTGCATTATCATACACACGCCCGACATCGTTCGCTCGACAGCTCGTGTACCTTTTTTTTTTTTTTTTTTTTTCCGATACCGTCCGCCGACATTCGCGTTTAGCATTAGACAATCGTGCCCACCGACCGTTCATCGCACGGCGTGATTATCAATAAGGCGCATATATATATGTATATCTATTTACAATATTCATGGAAAATATACAAAGGACATCGGCACTCTCTACAGTATATATTCTCGATTCTTTTCTCTTTTTAAGACATTTGATTCTTGCGCATATGTCACTGAGGTAAGTTTTTTTCACTGGTTTTTAAACTACAGTCATTCTCGCGTTGCACGCCCGAGAGAGCGAGGAGAAAGTGCTCTCGGCAAACTGGTTCACATCGATCCCAAAGAAGAAAGAACTAGCAAAGATCCAGGCCGAATTGCCAGAACCGTTTTTGCAAAAATCAACACATTCACGAAATTACAAATTTTTCGATACATACGTATACATTTGTCATCTTCTTTCGCAAACGTGCATTTGTAAGAGAAACAATTGTAAAATATTTGTTGATGGCCGAAATATATCATGTGTTAATTAAAAAAAAAAAAAAAAAAAAAAAAAATGATGTCGCAAGAAACGACTATGTTGTTGTAAAGATTACAAAACAGTGATGCAAAATTTAAAAAATTTTATTACTGGTCTTATTAATCGTTGAATTTTGTAAAAGCGGTCCTCGATTATTCAACTATGGGTTATTCGAGACGAAGGAAAGATCGGATGAAATTAGAAACATCTTAATTTTAAACGGTCCCGTTGTGTATGTGTGTACGTGAGAATGTATAAGAATGTGTGTGTGTGTGTGTGTGTTACAGCGATGCCAGCCATTCGCGTATTCTTAAATTCTCCTTATTATCTTTTATCGTTCGTCTTCATTTTCGCGTAGCATGCTTCGCCGAAAACGTGCGGATTTCGAAGAAAATTGTCATTCGCGGCCGGTGATATGTTTTTCGCCATTCATCAAATGGAACGTTGCGTCGCAACGTATCTTGGTCATGATGAAATGCTACGAACCGTGTCACGGGAAGCGATTCTCCTCTGTCGAAGATTTTTTTTTTTGGTTTGTGAAACTTAGCAAGTATAATATGTGATATCGCGAGCTTTTGATTTATTTTGATATAAGTGTCCTTAAGTAAAGACGCGCAGTTGGGAAAACCGTTTGTAAAATTTTCCACGAGCTTTACATCGTCTACGATATTTATGAAAGTGGCCTAAGTCATGATTACGTGGAAAAATTCAATTAATTATGCTCCTCGTGTGTTATGTAATCGTCGTGTCGCATATCGTAGAACGCATATCTTAAATCGCACAGAAAAGATATAGCAAAGGTGGATATTTTCTATATTTAAGCTTTGTAAGTGTACACGTTGAAAAATATTTTCTGATAGTCTCTCTTTTCCAAGATCTGATTACATATGCGTCACAAAGTAAAAGATATGACTCAGGCAACTTTCCGCTTCACGAAAAGACAGAAAACGTACGTAGTTTTGACAAGACTTTGCCTGCAGTAAACCCTCCTCGTGAATGGTCTGTGATTTCCCGCAGATATATGGCGACATCAAGCAGTTATCTTTTTGATATAAGAGTAGTTCCATTTTAATCTCAGAAGCGCAAATATTCGCTTACAGACTCGTCGCGTACACATTTCTGCGAACGATGATTTATTCGTATATAATCTAATTGCTTCAGATGTTGGCCTGCCTTACAACCGAGTTATTCGTTATCATGACGGTGTTATCATCGTAGTTGACATATTTACAACCGTAATATAACACTAAAAAATCTGTACGCGGACCCGTATAGTTAAGTTATTACGCAGCCGGTGCATTTACAACAAAGTTTCTCAACAACGATCAGGATGCACGCGACAATTAACGCATTTTCTTCAAAGAAAAATCCAAGTTGTGAATCATGGAAAACGTAAATCAAGAATCGCGCGATCTTTTTTGATACTTGCATCTTCTTTATTGTCTGTCGTACGTTTTTTTCCGAAACGCGTCGGAAGTATCTCGATGTTGTGTAAACGTAGATTCGAGATTTTTAACCTTCGAATTCGCTGTTCATTAATAAACTATCGTTCTTGAAATTAAAATCGAATTCCACGTTCGTATATGCACTTTAGAGAAATATAGTTGCCAAATCGCGATCGCGGCATCGTGCAATTGAATTACGTAATTACAAGATTTACAGGGCGAAACGTAGACGAATGTAGAGCCATTCTCTTCGAGAAATTCTAGTTCTAAGGTATTTCAATTTCTTACACCTCGAAATTTCGTTTCGTTTAAATTCACCTAATTAACACTATGTAATTTTTCAAAACGATCTAGGAAATCTCAAAAAAGTGTGTCGTACATTATGAAAAAGATCTGAATTAAAACGTCATTAAAAGACCAATCGCTCGTGTCGTTACTCGTTAAAAATATCGGATGCCGAACTTCACAACGGTTTCCGATTCGCTTCGCTACTGTATACTAAATCGACCCGTGAATTATTCAGTCGCAGCGTGTTCCGGGTTTACATCGTTCGAGGAACATCGTTTAAAAAAAATGATCGCGCAGATCAAAAGCGTCCTGCGGACGCGTGTTTAGTTTAAAATGGTTCAACGAGTCTGCAGCACGACGTCGTCATGGTAAAACAATGATCCGTACATTGTGTATAGCCTTCTAAAAAAATGCATTATTCTCTACGGATAGTGTAATGAAGGTTCGTTCGCAAAAATATCTTTTTAAAATACTATACACGTTTGCTTACGAAACCGCCCGAAATACGTGGGCGAATACACATATTTTCAGGGAACATCCACGCCTCCCAATCGCACGTGTAAATTGTAAAAACCGCGCGCGGTAATCGGGAGATGATTTTAATATACATCGTTATAGAAAGTTTGCGTTCTAAACGCCGCTCTTTGCGTTACCTCCGTTTCCAAAAGAATCGGTAGACGAGTCGTTTCGTCGAATAAATAATCGTATGACGAATTATTTGCCTGTGTGTTCAATCGTGATCTCCTTCTACCAATTCGAGAATGTCTCTGTGAGAAGCTGTCGGCTTTCTACTTACTTTCTGTGGTTACATACACGTGTGTTAGGGTAAATAATTTAAGAATGCATGCTGTAGGCCTATTTTTGCTGAATCGGCCGTCATATGTTTTATAACATTTTTCCGATCGCTATTGATGGTTTGCAATTATAATTTTACACGTCTGACCGTTTCTCTCTGTTAAAAACGACGGACGTTATTTATAAACAGAATATGCCAACGATGTTGCAGCAGATGCTACGATTAGGCAATATGATTATTTATCGATAAATTTACAGAAAGGATAAATGCTTGCCAGTATCGTAAGACTGTTCTAATACAGCTGTATGTCTAATGTCACATGGCCGTCGCTTCTGCATCCAAGAAATCGAAAATTTTTTCTTCGACTCGGTAAATTATAGACAATTCTTTTGATTATTATTAGAGACCATTCCATATCGGAACACATCCCAAAGCGTATTGATTAAGCTACGAGAAGCAATTTTAACATGTAGGAGTAAAATTGTACAATCTTTTGTTCGAAAACCCTCGCGATGACACCAGGAAATGACACCGACTGTTCGGATGCAGCAAGTCACGGCGATTCAGATTTGGTACGTGTCACGTTTAAAATAATTCTCTAAATTTATATCATTCGTATCGTTCTAACGTAATATCGTAGCATCGTGTATTTCTGCGCCGGGTTCGATTCGGATTTTCATTCATTCGTGTTAAATTCATTATACGCGCGTAACAGAATTCGTTTCACAGCTGTGCTAAATTGTGCCCGCATTACAACCGCTACGGTCGCGATTAATAATTGTTGATTGAAGCAACGGAAATGTATCGGTATAATTTATGGAACGTGTAATTCGTGTAGTTTCATTATTAATAATTTATTAAACTGAAACTGGGTTGGGCTAATTACATTTCTGCGCGAAGATCATCGATACCTCGCGATTTACGACAGGCGAAAGTTGTCGATTTCGCGGACGTTCGCTAAACAATCGTGATCGAGACGGATCACCGGCATTGTTTCTGTTCGGCTTTGGCATGGTCCACGATAGTCACGGCCCTCTTCGATCGCTTAGCCTCCGATCTGCCGGCGCCATTGATGCCCTTCGAACTGGTTGCCGGCAACGACGTCACCTTCGCCGACTTTTTCATATCTTTCCGCTCGCTGGAGGCTTCTGTCATCTTGTCCAGTTCCGCCATCGCCTCTTGTATCGCGTTTTCCAATTGCATATTCAATTTACGACTTCTAGAAAAATAGGGGAGGAACGAGAAAATCGTGCAGTTAGTACAGATAATCATCAGCGACCGCGTGTGCGATTCAATCGATCAGAATAAGAAATCACTCATAATCTAAAAGCTGAATAATCGCGACTAATAATAAGTTTTTCAAGCATCAATAATCGATTATCAGGCAATATAAATAGCCAGACAATAATTAATGTACGTGATACTCTCTCTTGCCAAGAAAAAAATCGCGTAAATTAATTACACATAGAAGAAACTATATTTCTTTTTTCTTTAAAAAAATTTACGTATTAGAGATATTTTTAACATTTATCTACTCGATTTCCTGTCGTCATGTGTTCAAAGTCAAAGCTACATATTTAATATAGATAAAAAGAAAGGGGAATGAGAAGAAAGATGGCTGAGATTGAAGTCAAACCACTTAATATAGTAATGTCCAGCACATAAAAGTATCAGTAACAGGATCCTTTTGGCAAGTTAACAGGAAGAATATTGAACCGCAGCTATGCAACAAGCTATGCGGGATAGATTTAATTGGCTGTTGGTTTGTTTATAAATGCCATACGATTACGATTACGATCGTAAATAAGAACTCTCTAGTGAAGAGATTTGCCATTAGAAATGAATTCATTATTATGAGATTCTTTGAAATATCTCCGTAAACCTGCCTCTCACTTCCATCGCGATATAACGCGATGAAAAAGTGAGCAATTCATTTTTTGTTTTGTCCATTTTTTAATTAAACTTATAGAGTTCTATTTCATATAGCATTTATTCATTCATTTATTTATTCCTTTAAAGAGATATATAATTATATTATTATATTTAATTAAACATAGTAAATTAAGATTTATATGACATCACGTGCATCTTACACAGCCCCAGAAAAGCGACATTTTGTGCAATTGTCCATTTTGTAACATTTATTAACGCTAAATAAGAAAGTAAGTTAACGTGCCTATGTCACAGTTTCCTATCCGATCAAATGCCGGACGTAGAAAAGAGAAAATAATATAGGGATACTCAAGCATCTCCCATTCTACTTCCCCCTCGATTTTCGAACAATTTTGCATTAACGCGAGACGTCTCTAAGAGGCTCTCATCTTTCGATAGTTCATCCCTGTCGGGGTGGCTGACTCACTTCCTAAACTTTTTACGGGCGCGATGGTGCGCCTCGAGGCCTTCGGAGAGGGACTTGAGGGCCTTGACATCGACTTGGGTGCGACCGCCCCCGCCCCCGTACCACCGAACCCAAACTGTCATAGTACCCGGGGGGCCCAAAGACTCGATTTTCCCCGGCCAGGCCGGACTTCCTCTTGCTGCGCCCCACACTAGATCACCGACCATCAGTTTCCATTGGTTCCCGTCGTCTACGTTCCTTGTCTCGGCTACTGGGGGTTCCAAAGAAGGCACGGTGTTTTTTCAGACTTTTATGATCTCTCATTTCCGTGAGATTGAAAAAGAGGTAACATAAAGAAAGCCCATCTACCGAAAAAAAAAAAAAAAGTTTTTTTACAGACATATTAGATGGGAAATTATCATGGAAGTTAATCAATTAATAATAATATATCCCTTATTAAAAACAAATTATGTTTCTCTTCTATCGCCACGATTACATTAATTCAGGGTAACAAAAATAATTTAATTAAAAAAAATCTGATACATTTGTGAAAAGACGTTTTATATTACGTGTAGAATCGTGAGTTTTATATAAATGCAATGTATTTTAGAATCTTAAACCACAACGTTTATTATATAAATTTATTTGGCAGGATTATTCGTGAGTTTACCGAAATGATCAGATTCAGAAATTTTGTCGCAAATGACTTAAATTTTACTGTACAAAATTAAATGAATGTAAATGTGGCGCGCGACACCCGCGTAATTTCCATCTCATACATCTGTATCGATCTCGATTAAAATGTGCAACGCATAACAGCAAAACGTTCCGATATGCTTGTGGTGCGTATCGATGTTTGAAACTGATGGTTCACCTACTTGTTCAGTAGTACTGTAACAATGTGCTTCTTGCTCGCATGTGTGTGCTCGTTAAAAATGATTAGTAGCTTCATTCAATGGTGGTATCAGGCGAGATTAAAGGCAGAATGAAATATCAGAATGGTTCGAACACATGCAATGATTTTGCCGAATGAATGTTGTTGATTTTATTATAAATTCCCTTTCTTCTCGTACCTACTTTCACCAATTTTTTTTTTTTTCGCGTGTTTGCACGTATATCGTTCGAGCAATTAAATTTTTATGCGAACCAGATTTTCATATCGTTAATAAATTATAAGTTCTATTATTCTTAATTCACTGATACTTTATACTGGGTATAAAAAGAATTTATATCTTATAAAATCCATTCAATTTGAAATATGATTACATTTGAATTACAATTGAATAATTTGGATTGTTCCGTTCGTGTAATCCAACTTTATACTTCATTATTGTTGATTACCTGACTTGTTTCATTTATATTGTAACCGAACATTCATTTCTCGAATGCTGCGAGATAATTTAGAAAAAAACCTCCATCTTCGGAAATATGCACATGCTGTACGCAAAATATGAGGGTGTATATGTACAAGGTACGTCGAAATAACACACAGTAGTGAGCCACACCCCTTCCGAAATGAACGAATGATTCAAGCCCCTTGAGAAATGTAATTGCGAGGATAATGGTATTAACAAACCTGACAGCCAATTAGTAAACGCAAAAAAAAGAAGAATCATCGAAAACATTATTTACAAACGTGAGAAGTTATTTCTTCATTTTCGTAAGCGACTCGTGGGAGACTCATGATGAACAAAAGGTCTCTTCTTTTTTAGTGCTGATGTCACTTACCTGCTCTCTTCGACTCCTTTTTAACATGATTAATAATGCGATGTTATAACGAATAAGTCGTTATCATAGAATCAGAGAACTCAATTCTGACTGCTCAAAATGGTGCATTCTTCTGGCTTAAAATTTTGATATGAAGAAAGCGATCCTTTTTAGTCCACTCTTGCGCAAGATTCCAAATATTGCGAAAGAAGGCTTTTACCAAAGCAACTGCGATACGGCAAGCTTATGCTTCATGCAAGCATGCATAAAAGGCAATAAACTAATAAAAATAAAAGTAACTATTAGGGCAGGCAAAATGATGGCATACATGATTTTTGATCAAAGCAGCGAAGTGAAATAATGATTTCTGTGCAACATCTTTAAATTACAGATTCTAATGAAGGCATAGCTGTAGTTTGTGAAGCACTCTTAATAGTAACGCATTCATACGATAATTATTTAACGACAAAGAGTAACGAGAACCACCATCTTTCTTTTGCGGAAATTAGTACAAATGAATTAGCAAAACAATGATTGATGATTCATATTTCTCGTTGTCATAAACAGCAACTAATAAAAAACATCCTGGCAAAGAAACTCTTTTACGAAACATCTCTCAAAATATGTGATGTTTATAGTATAACATTTGCCATTAAATCACAAAGTAAAGTTTACAGTAAAGTTTATAAATATCTCGCATATCTCGTGAAAATATTAATTCAGCATATTATTTTATTTATCAAAACAAATAGAAAAACTTCATGCTACTTCTTTCTCATCGTTAGTAAAAGTTTCTTCGCAGAATAGTTTTGCTACTAAGCAGGTCTACTTGTATATGATTAACATCTAAGAGTACCATACAATACTGACCATCTTGGTCTTCATGCAGAGTAGAATGCATGGAATGGATGGAGTCCAGCTTTCGCTTGATTCCGCGGCCGAGGGCATGCTCCCTGCCCTCGCACCTCACCGTGCTCACCACACCTTCGGCTTGCTTCAACGTCTCTGACGTATAGATCTGTCAAATACAACTCGATCAACTCAGGCACAAGCCTACCAATCGCATGCTAATATCATTTCAGTTTATCATTCAGTGCCGATGTATTATCTTGTTCTCTTTTAAATCCCGTTTCATAATCTACAAGAATTTTACGGTTTCTCCCGAGCGAGCATAGGAGACAAGTGCATTTTGCAAAATTTTAATTTCTAAATATAGAAAAATAAAAAAAGACGAATAAAATTTAAAGAAGGAAGGGGAAAATTTTGAAAGTTTATATCTCCATCGTTGTCTCCGATGCTTTTAATGCAGGACTCACGCGACAAATTTGATTCATTTGATACATGCAAACGATAATGATACCAAAAGAGACAAACTCAAACTCTTACGCATGCTTATGTTGCAAGGTAATTTTCACCAGGAATATGTTCAGAATCATATAACTTTTATCAGAAGGATATTTTCAGCAAAAATTTATTTTTTTCGTTGTTTATATAAAAAGGGATAATTTCTTGATTAATCCGATCACACGATTAATGATACAATTACATTATTGCAATAATGTATGATTTAAATAATAACGCTACGAATAAACCAGCGTATGCGCTCTCACGCCACAGCGCGGATGTCAAAATTATTAAATACAAACTAATTACAAAAACTTAATATTATCGAGTACTATAAACCGATCGCAACCTAATAATGCCACTGATATCGGTTCCAATTCAATTTACAAATTAATTTTATAGCCCCACGCGAAAAGAAAGCTGCAACTATTCATCCGACGATGAGTCACTCTCGTCAGCGTCATCGTCTTCTTGCGCATATACGAATTGATTGTAAAGATATGGATTAATGTAGGCTTGCTTATTAGGTGTGTAATTAACAACAGCAATGCCATTAGGATCAGATCTATAATTATACAAATGCGGATACAAGCCAGACGGTTCGATGTCAACAAATTTTTGCGGGTAGCCGACATTCTGCGGACAATAAGAAATCCCGGCATTTGATCGTTCTAATGATTTCTCTTCGGAATTTTGCTCCATTTCGTCTTGTTCCATAATATGTTGCACAATTTGTGTATCAACGCGATTGCTATCGATGCACGATTTATTATCAAATTTGCCGTTAATTTGCGGCAACATAGTGTAATGAGCATGATCTGGCACTAAGGCTTGCTGTCGATAAACATTCGCATTGGGGACATAGTGCTGGTCATGATAAAGGATTGGCTGGTAATGACCGTGACCTATGATTGGCAACGGATTGACCTCGATCTCCGAATAGGAAACGTCCGTCATTGCTTTACTGACACTTAGTTGATCTTCCACGGAGTGGTCCATTGTGTCTGAATTAATGGAATGATTTGGTGATGATGTGTCCATATGCTCCTGTGAGTCAGCGTATGTGTTTTCTGGGTGTGTCGTATCGGCCGGCTGGTGCATGTCTATTACAGTTAGATGACGGTTGACCTGCTCTACGTGGGTACCAACCTGGATCCCAGTTGTCACTGTCGATTCCACATAGGTCTTTCCGTGCAGACTCGGTTGATTTAACGTAATCTCCTTGGTGGCGATACTCTGCATTCTCCAATCCTCCGACGCCATCTGCGCGTCACCCGAATCCGGTTCGCTGCTTGATACGCAATGAACCATAGGCTGAAAATAAATTACACATGATGTGGAAATTAATAAATGCAATTTTTAATAAAATATGACTTTAAAAGCAGTGTGTTTCCTACGTAATCCTTTTTTGAGTAAGAGATAAAATATATGTTTGAATGACTATTCTTGCTTCAAATTATTCTTTACCGTGGACGACGAGTGATGTCTAGCCGTAATTGGAGGCGCTGGTGAGGCTGCACCGTGTGTAGTGGTATCCACAGCCGGACTGTTGGATCTCTGACTGTTGCCTGGACTATGAGTGGTCGTATCAGGAGGAGATCCTTGTCGCATCATAGCCGATTGCGCCACGTTAGTTTGGTTCCCGGCAGTTTGAGTCGATACAGAATGCCTCGCCATCAGCGGGCTATGTTGTTCATTTTGTTGAGCCGTTTTTTCCACGACAGTCGTGCTACTACTAGCGAGAACGTATTGCTGTTGATCGACATTCTGATCGGACGATGGTGAATTTACGCCGCTCTTTGGAGAAGATGACGCCACTTTACTCTGAATCATACCAGAACTTAGAATATACGATTGATTGTGGTCAAGATTTAAAGAAGGATCGACAGCCTGTCCGCCATTAGAAGCTGCGCTTTGAAAATTTGGTATCTGATTGTTCGAAACCATGGTCGTTTGCTGCTGTACAATCGTTGTGTTCTGTTGAACGAAGGTAGTGTTTTGTTGATTTGACGCTGAAGATACGGCGATATTCTGCGCGGTTGCACAAGGTACCATAAGTGTTTGTCCGTTCATCTGTATGAATTCCTGCTGACCCTGCATGTTTGGTCTTACTTGAGAGGTATTGAACGTTACTTGCTGATTCGGACTGACGTTCGCCACTATCGGGCTCAATTGATTCCCGAAAGACGTTGTACCGTTTACCAAAAATTGCCCACTGTTCGGCGAAAGAAACTGCGCTCCTGGACTATGTTGTTGAATTATCTTTCCACCAGTTGCTTGCGGTGCCCTTATGACCATTCCGGCTGGACCGGCAGCTAATATACTTTGACTCGGATTAAATATGCCGCCATGACTTTGTACAGGCGTCAGCACATTCTGACCGTTCACGTTTTGTATCTGAAGCTGCATTCCGATGTTACCCGTATCCTGTAATAACGTCGCTGTTCCGTCCGCGGACATTACCATGCTACCCAAGCCTGGCACAATAAATTGCTGGATAGTGGGGAAATTCTGAACCATTCCGGTCGCGCCATTCAATAAATTCACTGGTTGAAGAAGATTTATCTGTTGTGCTGGTTGAGGATTCGTTATAATTTGCTGAGCATTAAATTGCGCTGACGTTGTGCCGGTTTGACCGTTCATCACAAGCTGCGCTGGTGCTCCGCCTTTACCGGGTACGATGGTTAACGCCTGGAGCATGGGTCCACCTATGCTCTGAGTCTGGAAATTTTGCTGAGCAAAGTTTGACTGCGACTGCATCAGCATACCAGCGTTCTGTTGAGACGAAGCAATGTGTAGCATCGATGCCACAGTTTGCGGATTTGTTTTTCGTTTTTTGTATGCCTTCTTTTTGGTCATCCCCGATTCCGGCGATAGAAGCGCCGGTTGTCGATTCACCGTCATGCCTTGATTAGCACCAACCGTCCTGGACACATCCTGATTCGCATCAATGATCGACGGAGTGTTTTGTATAACGTTGCCGGTGGCAACTGTCAGATGAGGTATCTGCACGTTTTGGCTTATGCCGTCCATCGTCATTACACCAGGTTGAATCAATACTGGAGTCTGGATGGTATTCACAAGCACCGTGGGTTGTCCTATCACTTGTTGAGCTACGCCTACTGCGGGAATTACCTGACTGACAGCTCCGGTCACGCTAGTAACCATTGGCGACACTGACAGCGGTGGCATAGAATTGGCATTGGAAATGATTTTTGGTGGAGGAGGTGCCATCACGCCGTTAATCGCCGATCCAGTACTTGCCATTATAAGTTGACCGCCACTGGATACCAGTATATGACCAGGTGGTAGTGTCGACCCGGCAGGATGTTTTAATATACCACCAGAAGTAAGAACATTGTGAACTTGAACATTGGCTTGAGGATGGTGTTGCGGTTGATGCTGCTGTTGTTGTTGTTGCAGCTGCTGCTGCTGCTGCTGCTGCTGCTGTTGTTGTTGTTGCTGCGTTTGTGGCTGCAATGTCGAGTTTGTGCTGGCCTGAGGTACTTGTATGCTACTAACAACGCTTTGAACCATTTCGAGCGGTGATTTAGACACGCTCATTGTCGAAGATTGAGTATGTGTAACAGAGGAATGAGTCACAACTGGAGTACTCGGTACGTTCGTCAACGCTGCAGATTGAGTTTGATGTTGTGGTTTGTTTGGCAGAAGATTGGGTATAGCGGGATTCGGTATCGCAGATGGTGTGTTTATAGAAACGGTGGCGGTATTCGCCCTTCCAGCTAGTACAGATGTAATTGTGTTACTGCTAACTGTATGACCGCTCGCCATAGTTGTTATTACGGATGACGTTCCGCTAAAAGTATTCATGGGTATCCTGGAGATGGTGTTAACAGTGTGTGGATGAGGTTGATAACCTTCTAGCGAATTTTGCCTAGTTATTTGCCGTTTCACTTGAGATGTTAAATTATCCGTTACAGAAGAAGACGTCTGTAATGGTGAAGTACTAGGCGGGATACCACTGGAACTCATTGTACCGGAACTAGGAGTCTCTGATCTTTGTTCTTGAATGCTGCCACTAATCAAAGACTGCTGTTGCGCTTGTGGAGTTAGCGTCTGTGATGGCATTTGGCCCGACATATGAGAATGAGGTGTTGGTGGTTGTGATGAATAACTATGTGGTGTTGCTGGTTGTGATGAAATGAGACTCTGCGGAGTTGCTGGTTGTGAGATCCCAGGTGTCGAGGCTGCTGGCGTATCCGAATTAGCTGGACTATTCGTGCCTATAGGAGATCCGTGACTGGTGCTTACGGTACCGCCTTGGATCGGTCTGGAATCAGCTTGCGGTTGATTGTTCATTTGATATCGCTCGCCAAACGTCGATGATGTAACAGGATCCTCACGCTGATCCGTGTGCATCAGGTACTGCCGCTGCATTTGCTGCTTATACTGATCCTGAATATAGGACTGTGTGTCGGCACTGGTAACGCAATTTTGACACGGACTGCTCTCAGAATCCGTGCCGCTGTTGCTCGATGTCGGCGTCATACTGCTGTGTACGACAACCGGTGAAGTCGCATGATTCTTTACGGAAGCAAACGACGAGGTACTCGTTGGACTGGCAATAGAGGAAGGCTTTGGTTGAGGAATATAGGTATTAGGCACATGCATGCCATGACTGGTCTGAGACGATGCTTTTGAATTGTTGTTCAACATGCCTACTTGAGAACTACTGACACCGGTTTGTCTCGATATCGTGCTGTTTAGCAGCGCCGTCTGCTGGGCGAGGTATCCACTAGGATCCTCTAGGAACGAAGGACCGCTATTGTTAAACGTTGAACCTATTTGACCATTATTTTGCTGATTATTCTCACTGAACTCATCTACCGGACTCGACATTGAATGCTCCAACCCACTATTGGTTCTCGAAGATTCTGCGACACCATGCTGTCGTTGTTTCTTTACTATTATTTTATTCGACTTCGCCTTTTTCCGCGCGGCCTCATCCGTCCAATTGGAAGGCTGTGGAATGTAATGATGAAGCGGTGGCACACGGTCGAACGAATTGCAATTAATATTCTGTACCGTGACAACGGACGGTTGATGAGATACAATCGCGGCACGATTTTGCTGCCATGGCGGAGTTCTGTTGTTGAAATGCATATTACCGGGTTGCCCGTTTGGTCCCATACCAGACTGCTGCGCCTCAACGACGTGACTGGCATTCGGGCTTCGTCCCGTATGATTGGACAAAAACTGCTGTTGATGTCCCATTTTAGCGTCCGTATTCGTTCCTTTCGAAGGATCAAAATTCCTTGGATATTGCACCTGATTCTGCGCATACATCCGTTGGACATTCTCATGAGAATTATTCGGCAAACCGCCATTTTGAACAACGTGATGTCGTTGCATCGAGTGATTATGTAACAAAAGTTGCTGCTGCTGCTGCTGCTGTTGTTGTTGCTGCTGCTGCTGCTGCTGTAACTGTTTTGCATTTAGATCTTCATCAGTAACTGACGGTGCTCGATTATGCCTGCTTTGAATGTCAGTAGCATTAATGTTAGTCATAACAGCAGAACCATTTTTGCTGTTGCATAACATCCACGGAATGATGGTTTAATTGTTGGTTCGAATATTGTGGCTGAATGCACACTTGTGACATTTGTTGCTGCTGCTGCTGCTGCTGTTGCTGTTGTTGTAATTGCTGCTGAATCTGCATTTGGAAATGATCCGTCGACTGAGGTTGCATAACATGCTGATTTTGTTGCGACTGTTGCGGTTGCATCTGATGTTGATGAAGTTGATGCAACTGTGGATGAAGAGTGGCTTGATTCGGCACTTGCGACGACTGCATATGATGCACATAATTCTCAGCAGGATGCTGAGTATTGTAATTCGACTGTTGATCCAGTTCCTGACCTAAATGCTGTTGTTGTTGTTGCATATTGTGTTTTTGAATTTGTTGCAAATGCATTTGTTGTTGTTGCTGCTGCTGTTGTTGCTGCTGATTTAAATGCTGCTGTTGTTGCATTACATGTAACGATTGCTGATTTAATTGATTAATATAGTGAGGAGTTTGTTGTTGCGCTAATTGATTTACAACGGTGTTCTGATGTTGCTGTTGTTGTTCCTGTTGTTGTTGCTGTAAAATTTGCATGTGCTGTAACTGCTGCTGATGCGGTAACAATTGCTGTGATTGTTGTTGTTGCTGCGATATATGCTGCTGTATGAGCTGCTGTTGTTGCTGCTGCTGCTGTTGCTGTAGGATAAGCTGTTGATGTTGCTGTTGCAAAAACTGTTGCTGTTGTTGAGACATATTGTTGAAATTTGTACCCTGCTGATTCATAATCAACGGGTTGCCCATCAGCATGCCCGACATATTATGTTGATTTAACCTCTGTTGAGGATTTCTTGCACAACTGCTCACGTCATGATTCTGGGAAGGCGAATTTAAAGACTGATGACAAATTTGTTGTCCGTTTTGCTGGACTTGCAAATTCGGGATCGTAATTGGCCATACCTAAAAATAAGAAATAATTGCATTTAAATAATTGAATAAACATAGTATATAGATAAAGATATGTAAAAATATTAGATAAGATATTCGTAATTAATTAAATAAAATTCATACTTAATAGTTATAAAATATAAATCTTTTTTAAGTTGTAAAATGTCTATATTACATAATAACGAGAATACCAAGTGTTGTTCAGTATTGTGCAAAACACTGAGCAAAAACACAACTTCCGGCTCAGTAAGGAGACCGGTAATTTGCGATTCAATTAAAGCTACGACTCAATTACCTGCGATCCATTAGGCACCGGTGAACCTTGAACTCCAGATGCCGCAACCGCGGCAATAGCTCTCTCCCGTTGTGCCAGAAGTTGCGAAACCGAGACGCCGGAATAAATGCCGCCTATGCCTCCTAGTTTCCTCTTCTTCTTCTTGCTGAGACCATCTGCGCACGCCAATAAAGTATCTCTTAATAAAATGGAATCCAATTATCTTCGATTCGCCGGCATCTATTTGAAATTGAATCGACAAAGGCTTTTCCCGTTCGGAGCGCAATTGTGGAAGACGATAAGTCCTCGGCGCGGTAGAAATTAAAATACGACTTATTCGCCCTAATCCCGCGCCGCCGGCTTTCTCACTTATTATTCAGGCGACGTTCCAAGCCTCTTAATGAAGCAAGTGTTCCATTTGAAATCCCGCCGCAAGGTTAAATCGTATTTAGCCCGACATTTCCGTACTTTAAACTCTCTGTGCTTTTTGAAACGTCGGCTTTTCCCTCGGTCTCATTATCATTCCGGAAAATACCTTTCATGAAATGAAAATATCGTCGGCGATAGATCAAGAGACGTAGTGGAGTGTCAAAACAATCAACGTAATTAACTTGTTAAATTAATTAAAGCAATATAACATACAATATAAATAATAGTAAATATTTTGAATCTAATAAAGATTATTAATTATTACAATAAGCCATTAATCTTGCTGCAACAGGTAGAAGCATAATCAAATTCATAATTAAAATTATAATAATAAATAAATTTATTATCATGTATTATTTATGATATTATCTAATTGTGTGAAATTTACCATAGTTAAAGTTTGCTATCGATGCATATAAAGTAGAAATCTGTTTTATTATATCTGTGTATGCACATAACTTTGAAATTATTCAAGAATTGCTTTAAAAGTACAATGCAAATAATTGACGACAAAAATTTGTGATAATAAAAAATTATGTTGTTAATATATTGATCAATTATAGACAATATATCAATCTTTAGCTTAAAAAAACTTTAGAAACTTTAGAAACTGCATACTAAACTTTTATAAGAAAAATATTAAAGGTTCCCATTAGGCAAATAATAAATTACACGATAAAACTAAAAACACAGAAAAAAAATAATCATATTAGCATTATTGCATATATCGATAAATATTGTACATTAATCGGAATAAACGGCTTAAAATGGAAAAATCGGAATACCGAGAAGATCAAGAAGATTTATAACGCTTTTGAAAACGCTATCATTCGCATATTCATGAAGAACTGCCGCAGGGGCCATCGACACTTCCGAATTACCGTGATTTACGAGACGTGTTAGAAGCAGGAGGGATAAGGTCTTCAGCGGGACGATAGGCTAAGGGGATCCTTTATCTGCAAGCCTACAGAGGATAATTATTCTCCGTGCGCGCCGATTGCGGCGCGGGGAGGAGGGACCGGATAATTCTCTCTCGAAAAGGGAGAAGCATGAAAACGACGAGAGGCGAAAGCGAAAGAGGAGGGTAGTAGGAGGATAGTAATGAATCTACGATGCCAGTAAGGCAACCTTGTCCGTCCCGACGACGGTAGTTTAACCCGATTTCCAAGAGGGGGTGCGGAAGATTTGCGTAAAATCTTTGGATCCATTTTGTGGCTTCCGGGGGTTTTCGCGCGAACGCGTAAAGTCTCCTCCCCCTCCCCCGGCGCCCGTTTACTTGGAATGCCTGCAGTCAATGGCTCGAGCAATAAACGTTCTCGTCGTTAAACCC